ACTCTGATATCTGAGGCCTATAAACTTGGCACCAATTTGGACAAAGAAACCATCAGCAATTGGACCACAGGCAAAAAAATACTGAACCTTTTAGAAATTAGTGATGTTTGCGAAATAACCAGAATTATCCCATTAGCTACAAAAAAATATGTTTGAAAAACACTGCACAGAAACAATGCATAATGACAATAAAGGCACTAATCACAAAAATAAACTTCGTACCTACAGACAGCTGAAAACTGATTTTGCACTTGAAAAATACCTCGAAACCCCAATCCAAGGTTATTATTATTATTATTATTATTATTATTATTATTATTATAAAAAAAGTAGTAAAGAGTAATTCAGGGAAATTACATTTTCGAAACTGTAAAACGACTAGATGACACAATTCACTGCAAAATTCAATTTTAAAAATTGTAAAAGCCCTTTTTATTTCCCGTAAAACTGTACCAGCTACCACCCTTGCCTCCCCCCTCGTAAAGCTATTGGCAAACATTGCAAAAAATACCATTGACCATTGAAACTGGTTGATATGGTTCCGGTAACGCTGTTTTGATTGTTAGCATAGTTACTCGCCGAAACTCGGCACAGCACAAACTACCTGTGAAGTCAGAACAAAGTTTAAACACCGCTCAAATAGGATATGTCTCTGTTGGCACTCGGGCTTTTTGATAACAGTTTTTACTCACAGTTAGTTAATAATGTTGACCAATTATCTAACTCCCAAACCATTAACACACGTGGCAAAGTTTAAATATTTATGTTTTCAGAAATGAGGGGGTTGCCAAGTTATTTTTCGTCCGTGGACATATTATCGTATTCGCCTAGCTCACGTTGAATACAATGGGAATACAAAATACGTGGGTATTGTTTCACCGTACTTGTCTTGTTACCATGACGATACGTTGCACGCGTTATAACAGCGCTCGGGGTGTTTTATAATGTAGATTACAAGTTAACACAATAGCGTGCTTGTTTAAAAACTGGAAATAATAGTTTATATAAATCAATCATGATTTTTTGTATTAACCATAACCGTGCACCACATACTTTTGCCGATTATATCAATCGGCCTTACGCCCACAGTTGTAAATGTGCATGTATACGAATTCCGCCCGGGGTCACTCACCAGGTGACCTGGTACCACCATCGTCCATATATACCAAGAAAAACTCACAATTGAGACAAACTGTTTTTAGGACCTAAATGAGATCTGTCATATAAAATCATACCCTAAGCGATACTTTATTATGGACACATAACATAGATAGATCAACCATTGTATTAACACAGTTCGAGACCTATGGCAGCATAAAGTCAGATTCAGTTGATCTCTGCTATTGAATACCACCAGTAGAAAATAAAAGGCAGAACTTCAAACCCAGGAGGGACCAACTATCACTACCGGTAGTACCATATTGTTCATCTCTTAGAAAAAGACATACTCCATTTCTCCACTAAAGGAAACGTCATTTTGTTAGGGGACTTTAATTCTAGAATAGGAGAATTAACTGACATTATTAATGAAGACATAAACCAACACATTCCGCTTCCTTTGGATTATGTAAATTATAATTATGAAGCACGTAATAATATGGATAGTGTCTCAAAATTCTGTGTTAACAAATTTGGTAGAAAATTCTCCCAAATTTGTATTGAATGTAATCTTGTAATTGTAAATGGGAGGACAGTTGGGAGCTCGGCAGGTAAATACACTTATTATTCACCTAATGGTTGCAGTACAATTGATTTTGGGGTCATTTCTAAATCAATTTATAACCCACATTTCGGATCACTGTCCTATTATCCTATCTGTATGCTTAAATCCAGAGCTCCCAAATAATTCTCAAAGAAATCATAGTAATAGATTGGATCCCTTACCAACTAAATATATTTGGGACAGTGACTCAAAAAAATAAATTTGTATCTGCTTTAGAGCTAGCAAAATGTAATGAAATGAGTTAATATTGTTGACCAATTATCAAACTCCCAAACCATTAACACACGTGGCAAAGTTTAAATATTTATATTTTTAGAAATGAGGGGGTTGCCAAGTTATTGTTCGTTCGTGGACATATTATCGTATTCGCCTAGCTCACGTTGAATACAATGGGAATACAAAATACGTGGGTATTTTTAATAAAAATAATAAACTCAATGACAGTGATTTATTCTTTTTTGAAGGGAATGAGATTAACATCGTGAGAAATTATAATTATTTAGGTATTGTTCTCAGCCCTAATGGAAAATTTAAAGCTGCGATGAAACATCTGAAATACAAAGGAATGAAAGCATTATTCTCTTTGAAAGCCAAATTAGGTCATAATGAAAGTCTCAGTCCCTCATTATTGTTATCATTGTTTGATAAACTAATAAGACCAATTCTTATATATGGATGTGAAGTCTTGGATGGAGAAAGTTCATTCAACTCTACTATAGAAGATGTACACCTCAGCTTCTGTCGCTTTATCCTAGGCGTTTCAAAAAATACTCCGAAATTGGGAATTTATAGTGAGTTGGGTAGATATCCTATCGATTTATTTATTAAAAAGCAGTTAATAAAATATACAACCCACTTAAACAAAACTCAAAACCCTACTATTAAGGAAGCCTTCAAACCTAAAAAGACTGTAAAAAGTAAGTGGTACAATGAACTTAACTCAGTACTGAAATCTACAAATACAACATTATCAGATATTGATAATAATGAGCTAAAATAGTCACAAATGTCACGGATATATGATAAAATAAAAAAAAAATTTATAAAGCATTGAATTAACTCAATTAATGATGATAACAGACAAAACACTAATACTGAAAACAAACTGGGGACTTACACAAAATTTAAAACAAACTTCATTTTGGAAAACTACTTAATTAAGCTAAAAAATAAAGAACTGAAAAGTACCCTAACTAAATTCAGACTGAGCAATCACAGTTTAGAAATTGAAAAAGGAAGACACAACAGAATCAAAAGTAGCGACAGAATCTGCAATTTGTGTAATAAAAATGATATTGAAGATGAACATCACTTCCTCATAATATGCCCAGTATATCGTAAAGAGAGGGTCATTTTATACAATGAAGCTGAAAAGATTATTCCTGACTTTACTAATCTCACACCTGAAAATAAATTCATAAAAATAATGTCAAATTATAACTTAACAATTTCTCTGGCACAATATCTGAAATATTTGTTATTAGACAGCAGCACCTACTTAGTCATTGACTTTTTTATACCTATTATGTGTTCATTGGGTTTTTGTTTTTATATTCAGTTTATAGTTTTTTGTTGATGTTTCATTTTATTTTATTATATATGTCCGTTACTAACTTCAATTTAGTCTGTTTTTGGTTGTCCTTTAAACTATGAGTCATTGTAATTTGATTAATTTTTATCTGTAATTTTCTTCTGTAACCTTTAACATCCTTCAGTGGGTTGTTATGAGTTAATAAAATACCTACGCGGTGGGCCAGTACCGTGTTCACGTATTCAACCGCCGAGGGCGTTCCCCACGACAACAATTGCTATGTTCACACGGCAGCATTCTACCGGAGCCGAATCCCTGCTCTTTCCACTGATTAACAGGAGATTATCTCCAATGCATTCATACGGTCGGGAGCCGTACAAGAGCCGAGATCTGCCAAAGTTTGATTCAGCTCGGTCAGAGCCTAACGGAACAGTGCCCTCAAATAATTAGTATGATAAAAAGCATGACTGAAAACAATGTAGGTGTCAAGCTTGTGTTGTTTCTTTACATGGCACGATTCTGTTGATCGGGGAGAAAAAAAGAAACACTGACGAGAATTGAGGAAGTGAAGACAATGAACTGGTGTTATGATTCAGGTAATAGTATCTCGAATAAACAGGAAACACGGTAGCTAAAATGTGTTACATTCTATTCGCTTAAGTTATTATTCAACTGTTGTGATATGTGTTACAATTGTCAATCTAAACCTACCAGAAACATGTCACCTTACCGTGACCGCTTCTACGATTTTTATCTCTGGTGTCTTTGAAAAGTATCTTCAATTTTCATTGGATCTGTTCAGTCCTTCTTTCAAGTTTTTGTCGCATAATTTCGTGCGCCATTTTTCTGTTTCCCGTTGACCTGACAATCTATCGCAGTATTTCTTTACTCTGCCAAATAGATATTAGTGCGCGTACCTCTTCGTCAAATTGAAAATTGTGTGAAGTTACGAACGATGTTGTCTCCACCATAATTGAAATGAGAAGTTACCTCAATTTGAAAAAGGCGGTTGAGGGCGTGATTTGGACTCCGATAGTTGGGCCCTGTGTATACACAGTCGGAGTTATGTCGGGGCTCAACCCTATCGGAGTTCAACCCCGAAGGTTTATTGGAGGCGAATTTGGCTCGAGCCGAACAGCTCCGATAAAATGCTGTCGTGTGAACGTAGCAAATATTTACCTGGTAACATCGTTGGACCATGGGACCGTCAGAACACGGTGCCTTACAAGGCTATAAGTTTCACAATAAAAGTTCCAACCCACGTTGAAAAGGTGAGATTCTTCGAAGTCAGTATGGTGAGAAACGGAAATGTCGGGTACTAGAAATAAGTCTTTATCTTCTGTAGTCGTAGTAATTGAACCCGGAAGTTTGTGTCTGTCGTTTGTTGACACATTAGTCACATTGGTTTAGTGTAACGACATTCTATAAATGACTAAAATCACAAATATTTCGGATGCAATGCAACTCTTACACAACTTCTCCACCAAGTCCAGCAAGAGAATACATTTATACAACTTGTAAGACACAAAATGAAAGTATTCTGCCTATTGTTAGGCTGGCGCCCTCGCGCTGTTTTAAGCAGGTACGTGTATCAAGTATGTCCATACAAACACACACGACGATAACGCGTTGGTGTATACTCACAAGCATTACGTATCAATTTCCCCCCGCGACACATGTTGGCGGATTGTGTCATGGTCACGTGACTACGATGGGAACTGTAAATAGTGAGTAATCTCAACTGCGCTCGATAGGAAAACTTTGTGTGTATTTCGTAGTGAGAAATCTCAACAATGTCATCATCATGTGCTTAGCGGCCACACACTGCGGCTAAGTACACGGAAGTGCTACCCCTATCGGTTTAAACACGGAGACATCCAAAACTTTGTTGTCTTTTTTTTATCGTAGTATAAACTTCTCCAAGCCATTCTACTGTTGGTGTTGGTGATGTATACGGCTGTCATGGCGTTGCAGTGGTGGCTAGCTTTTCTAATAATGATCGAACCCTGTGTGAGTGCAGCGGCAGCGGAACAACTCGAACCGATCGTATGGAGTGTCGGCAACCCTATGTAAGTACTTGTATTTGATCATAACTGTCACACTCGCTCGTGTCACCTTCTACACAGTCCGTCGAGGGACCGTGCTTTCTCCAAGTCAGTGTCGTTTAAAATAACGATAATGCGTTTCGGACTAGCGCCGTTGTTGACCTTCCATATTTGTCGTATTAATTGTCTGATGATGCAGACTTTAGATTACTGAGTGTTCAATTCTTTGAATAAAGCCAAATAATTGCTTCAAATAGGTCTCTAACAATGTACTCGAAGGTTATTGACAAAGTCTATCATAGAGCACGCTACAACGCTTCAAACCGGGACTCCATGCTGACACAACATACAAACACATAAGAACGCCGGACAAACAAAACTTTCATCGCTAATTTGATTGATACAGTCATTTTTACTGGTGATAATTACAGGAATATATATACTTTATTAAACATGCCATAATATCACGATGAGTTAGTTGTCATCATGCATAATCACATAAAAATGAAACGTTATATGCCATGAGCAACGTAATGGGATATAGTCCAATGAGGCCATGGAAGGTGCGGGCGAGATGAAGAACTCTCAGGCTAGAATTTTGAAATGCATTTCTGCCGAAGGACTGTTAGGACATCACTAAGGGGTAGCAATATACTACCACCATGCTGACGGGCAGTTGTCGGGTACAGACTAAATGAAAGCTTTATACATTGTAATGAATTGTATTTAAGTTTGGGAGAGGGGCAAAGTAACGGAATTTTCATTCCAAATAAATACTGATCCTCTCCGCATACCGATCGAGTCGTCTGGGCACCGTTTATCGTGACTATTTACTGTGAGTTGAACATGGGGGCAGCTCATCGTAATACATCAACCAAAAAGAAAGAGTTTGTATCATGTTATTGAATTATTTTGTTCTGCTCAACTTTCCTAGATTCCGACGAGGATTGCGATACATAGTACAAGTGAGAATCGAAGACACGGTTGACATAATATGTCCAGAAAAACCAAAAGATAATTTGGGAGACTCGCCGTCGGAATATTATCGTATATACTTGGTGTCTAAAAGCGATTACGAAAAATGCGACACAACAACGAGTCGTTTGTTGCTGAACTGCGACCAGCCGAGCGTGGAGACCAAGTTCACCTTTCTCTTCACACAATTAAGTCCCGTCCCCAATGATTTTATTTTCCAACCTTGTCAAGACTACCACCTCATTTGTAAGTATTAATTGGAGAAAAAGTATTCATTCCCATTTGTTTTCATTAATAACAGTTAGCACTTTCCGAAATTCCCTGCCTAATGTGAAATTCCATGGGCGGTATGCAGAATGACGCGAATGTGTACGCTTTAGATCTATCTCAATTCTTTTCTTACGTAAAGTGTAAATCAATCATAAGTAACGAGGACATTAAACAATGCAATCAGTCTCCGCTCTGTTTACAAACCATGGAGATATATACAAATACAAATATATTTTATATACAAAATCATTAGCGAGAAAAAAATAAAATAAAAATGTTCCACCTGTCTTGAATAGGTGTCGAGGACACAAGTACAGGTGAGTGGAATTGATGTATATCTATCACCAATACTACTACATCACCATGTCTGGGCGACTCGGAATGATACCTGTCGACAAATTCCTCAAAAGCCAAACAAAAATTGCCAAGGAGGCGCCACAAATACGATATGTGGAAGCGAAATGGTATCAAACCGAGTTTACACTGATAGAAAACAAATAACCATTAAAGTTAAAAGTACCGTATTTAAATGACTCAGTGTGTGTCAGATAAAAAGATATAGAGCGGTCTCGTGGAAATGAAAATATTGCTTGCTTTCGGAAGCGCTATTTGATAAAATACAATGAACCCATTCGAGTTGGGGTTTTACTTTACAAGACCTCTTACATGCTTCAGAAGTTGGGTTATTATTCAAAGAAGAAACATATGTTACAAAAAAACACTGATGACGGAGTTACAAGGATTACCCTAAAACCAATGGAGAATCCGAGGGGCTGTTCTAAGTGTGCGCAAACGGACGGAACTATCACTCAGGCAGTAAATTTCAGATACCTCGACTTGCACAAACCGTTTGTTATAAACTATCAACGTTTGTTAAACCAACTCACGATTTTCTGCAACTTTATTGCAGTTACTGTAAAATAAGTAATGTTCGCTGGGTTACTTTCCACTAGTTTAATCACGTGTCAAGCATATTCGCTGGGTTACTTTCCACTAGTTTAATCACGTGTCAAGCATATTTGCTGGGTTTTCACGATTTTATCATTGAAAGAATAATCCCTGTTTTAAATCATACATAACCCTTTCTTTGTCTTAATTTTGAGTTAGCGAAACTAATAACCAGTCAACAATAAGCCTTTTACATTATTATGTTGTAGCACGTTTCTTAGAGTATAGCATTGACATTGGTTCACCCCTTTCTGTGTAATAGGTATCCTGGGTGGGCTGTGTATTATTATAACACCCCAACTGCGAGTGATCAAATTTGGTTTCTTTCGGCACGGTCCAATTACCCTTCCGTCATCGAAATGCTATTTATTTTCTCGCCTGTTTGTGGGACATGTGCGCTGAGCCGGTACGTAAGTCCGAGGCCGGGTTGTGAAGTATGGTGGGTGAACTACCATGCCGCGAATATAATGTACCGTCATCATTAACAAATATGAAAAAAAATGTCTGCAGGAAGTTGATAAATTGATAAAGTCAAGGAAGGAATTCGAATAAACGTCAAAGACATAATAATTAATAATATGGGAAATATGAGTGTTTTTTGATGGTGGATTTTGTTAAGTACGGAACGGTCGATACGACCGTTTTGTGCGACTGCACCGTATCGTACACGGTGAAAAAAAACTCCATAAAGGGGAGTCACTTTAATAGCAGGAGCATTGTTTGATTATAACTTATAAAACATTGTTTTAATCTCGTACAAACTGCCCTAAAAGATCTGCGAACTCACGAAAAAACACGAATTCTGATTCTCTAGTTGTTGTTTTATTTATTTATTGATCTATGTCTTGTTATATTAATTATAAATATCTAAAACGAATGATTTAACAATAAATCCCAGCTATATAAACTGTTCATGAAAATGTTGTTCATTAGCTGTTTCGAATAAACGATTTCTGCTAAAAAGAATAATTTTGCGATGATGTTCCTCTACCTTTCTTTTAACCTGAGTAGCACTTGGTGAATAAGATGCCCACACTACATCACGTCATCGCAACGAGGTGATGCAGCGGCCAAGGATGAATACATCTTGACCATGGGGGTATTGCATGAATGAATACAAAATAAGCATTTGAAAATCAAAATAAACAGTTTTATTATTGGCATCTAAACACAACCAAGCTTATAGCGGATTTTGTTAATGTGGTTTCATTTTATTGTGTTTTTAAAAACACGTCACTTTGAGATTGGAGTAGTAACGATTTTCAACCACTTTTTTCTGAATAAACAATTTCGACGAAAGACCTCCCCCCTCAAGTTGAAATCGAATTTATTGACACAAGAATCGTGTTGTACCCCAATCCACCAGGATTCTTTCACTGGGCTGAATACAAAAATGTATACAAAGACTCTAAATACATGCACATTTCATGAGAAACGCCCCAGATAAGGTCTCATACTACAACTAATCTCCCTAGAAAAGCTAGACACATGATTCAAATACCCACAATTTTACAAAATTAAATCTCAGGTGTTGAAAGTCCCAAAAAACAAAGCCCATTCAGCTACACCGGTATTAGGAGAATAGATTACCCAGCTGACTGCTCACTCTAAATGTATCAGTCCGCCATTTCAAAACCTGATGATTGTCGCTAATATTAAAATAACAAATCCAACTGTTGCTTATTCTGGTATCATATTTAAAAATGGGAGTTTGAAATAGAAGTATGCCATGCCTTGCAAAAGTTGTTTCCAGGGAGCCTACGTAACCCTGCGCCTTGATACAAATTATAATTATGATGAAATCATGTGTCCTTGTGTGACTGATACCCAATCATAAAGAGGCGACTCTCGATTAAAATTATACGATTAAGAAACAACGACAATATTTCATTACGTAATTGGGTGTACCCACCTTCTTAATTCACAATGTGTTGCATCATGGGACTAATTGCAAAGCATATAGGTTTGTACCAAATGTTCTAATGTTCACGCTTTATTCAGTTAATAAGTCCTTAAATCGAGGAAAGCGTACATTATAATCGGTCTAGGAACACTGACCCGTCATCGTCCAATAGACATGTTCGCTTCTTGCATTGCTATGGTTACTCAGTGTCCTTCAAAGGGTGAACTGTGAATTTGACCTTACTGGTGAAACATATTTGATTATTTTTTTAACCGTACAGTTAATATTAACGAAACCTTGTATGCTGCGAAAACCGATGCTTGTCTTTCATGTGGTGATCTCTAACAAAGATTAGGGTGGAATGTTTGTTTTTGCAGTCGCCGTATCAGGCGCCCTCACACCACAAATTGAAATACGAGCCAATACACTGGAAAAATCGGCGTTCAATCCATGTCACACTATATATCTCAGGCGAAATTTTAAATTAAACTTTGAATTTTCTACCAATGCCCCCACCGTATCATTATCCAATACAGATACCCTACTTTGCTTTGCTGAAATAACAACCGTTTAAAGCTACCAGTGTCCAGCGCGTCATGTTTCGCTTTCTGCATTGTTCGTAATCCTTGTTCTAAAGTTACTTTCTCCACAAACACGGAATGTGCAAGGCATATCTCGCACTACACATGTTTGTATAAAATGGGAATTCACGTTACACAATCAGTATACCGTGTCTAGTATGAAAGGGAGGTGTTGCCGGAGTGCCTAATGCTCAGGCCACTAAAAATTCGGCTTCGTATACAAGTATACAGTAAAAAACGATTACGCACGCTTGACGGGAGAAATAAAAACCAGTGCGTTAGATGGCCCTACTTGTGCTGAAGAAAATTCAGTCCCTTAACTGTCTTTTCTTTTCCTCTAGCGACATCAAACGCAACTGAGGCCGGTGACGAAGGGATGGAGAACAAAATGGGCGGGGTATGTCGGAGTAACAATATGAGGATAATTATACGGGTATCATGCACAGGTAACGACGACTATTTTCATCACCATTATTGATCTGACAATAAAAAAATATTAATGGGAAGGCGTCAACAACAATTGTAACGCACCCATCTCTTTTATTGGAAATATAACTGTCATATAATAAAATGTTTCCAGGGATTGTTTGTTCATTTTTATCAAAATATGCATGCTTCTTTTTCTACATTTAGTTTTGATCATTCTAACATTATTTAAAAACTGCAGTGACGTAATACAAATTTACTGCATATCCCGCGACAGTTCGTAATTCCGGGGAGTTCAAACCGTCCGACCATCTGTGGATATTTGTTGAGCTGCTTCTATTACCTGTGATAGATTTCGTATCTTAAGTTTGAACTGAGAGTCGTTACACGAGAGCGCCAAATTCTGACGACCTTGTCGTTTATGAGTTTGTAGATAACTGATATGAACTGTTTGATAATCCTTGAGTTATATCACTAGTTTTGTGTTTATTCTGATATCCATATTTGTATGCATGATCGGCATGCGAGATAACACCTTGGGAGTTTTTTTATGTTTAACTCTTTTTTGCGCCATCTTGTATAGCGGACGTATTGTTTACAAACAAATTTGCCACCATCTTTGCCACATACACACAAATATGAAAAAAATGAGGGTCATTTTTGGATAATAATAAATCTCCTAAAATCGGTTTGATGGACAATAAACCATGGACAAACACGCAATGCTGAAGTTAAAAAAACAGCGCCCTCAACGTGTGAATAAAAATATTATAAAGCATCTGTCCAATAGGGTCTATGGTACAAGTGTGTGCATACATTAAATATCTGAGCTAAACTGGCGTTAAATGAATATTTTTTTTTGTATTTCAGTACCAACTTATAGCCAAATACTGCCCTATAAAACAGCTCGTCCAACAGGACAGACTCCACAACCCAAGCCATGGAAATTTACCACAACAAAGCCTGTCGCCTTGGGGGATAATAGTTCATCACCCAGCATACATTGCAGTACACAAACATTAAAAATATTATTATTACTGTTAGTCTTATATCAGAGGTGAGATTCAAACTTGATTGGCTATTGATAGCAGTCATGTCATCGACACTTGAATCACAATCATTGCAATACTCAATCAGGGACATATCTCAGATGCTTTAATTAATCGCATGTTTAAATAATTTATGGATTTTGGCAATCAGCCATTGCTTGCATCATTATTCAATGTCAAGTTGGAAGAGAATCAGCAAAGAAACCTAATGCTTGAAATGTTGGAGAGCGAGGATGATACCATGGAGTGCTATAAATATGGGCAAAGAAAATATCTTCTATAGTGACAAGCAAAGACGTCTTGGCCTTATGCCGAGGAATGGTACTGGGCAATAGGTAAACAACATTGATGTATCATGAATGATGTCACACATCATGATGTAATAAATGAACATTTTGAGAAAAGCTCATTAGATAAGGAAACATCTTTCAAATGATAAATATATTTGATAAGGAAAGAGAAATAAGAGAAAGTAAAAACATTTCACTGAAGAAATAATTTTCCACAAATTGTTGCTTTCAAGTATTCTTTATTCTCTTTGTACATATTTTCATAAAAAAATGTTCTTTCTAGCAAAATATCTATTTACATAAAATAAAAGAACAGGAACAAACAATATTGTCATAATTTAATAACTGTCAGTCAAATGAATGTGATTGGCTTGTCTATGCCATTATGTACTATAAAAAGTACCAGGTTCAGATTCCATGGTAACAAACAAAATACAAGTATGATAGTGTTCTATTTAATGAAATCTTTTGCAACGTGCCTTTATATGCAAATTTTCTAATTATATCACATGACCAGACCTGTCATTTACTGGATTGGAAGATCACATTTTACAAAGTCTTCCAAAGCACAGTAAACTGCTTCCATTCATGCGTCAAATTTTGTACCAGTGATGGGGAGTTGCTGAGAATTTTTCATCAACACAACCGCTTTTAAAATTAACGATTTATAGCAAGTGAAAGAATTGAATATATGAGACACTTCTTTGCAGTGTAATCTCTAATGCTATTGCAAGACATGAAGACCAAATGTGGGGAATCCATGAATCATTGCTTATTTACTTTAAAAACCTCATCAATAGAGGGCAGCCTCCACGTCACAAAATTGCAATGTATCAGTGCATGCATGAGTTTAATTAAAATATTGGTGACATATCCAGATTAAAAAAACAAGTCATTACATCAATATCTCAGTATCAAAAACAAATTTCTTTTTTTTTTGCCTTTTAAATTTTACAAACAGGTCTCATGATGATAGTTTTATAATGTTAGCAAACTTTCTGAATCCGAATTATTAATGTTATTTTAACAGGCACCTACAAAAACATTCCAAAAAATAAATATATATATATAATATATAAAATCAATTATGTAAATCATGTTGTACAATCTTTCGATTGGAATGAATTGCTATGGCAACAACAAAGAAAAGCATCACTATTATAAAGAAAACACAGTTGTCATGGTAATAGAATTTTATAGGGACCCTTTATAAAAATAATTAAGACATAATAAACATTCTAAATGATCTAATGATTGTTTGAACATCGCTGTAGTAATTAGTCAGTCGCCTTTGTCTGAATAGATCTAGGATTTACAGGAAAGGATGGATTACTAAAGGTCTGCAATTTCCATGGTGATAATTCCACAAAGATATCACATTTCAATCAACTTTCATAAATGGAACTCTGTTATGGAAAAAAATATAAAAAAATCTGCTCAGCAGTTTCATTAAGTTAAATTGATTGTGTGTAATTTTAAGTGAGATCTTAACTTCCTGCCCACAACAAAGTTGCAAACCCTTAGTTTATCTACCCTTTTTCCACTAAAATATATAACTTACATTTTTAGAGAATTATGCTTTTTTTGTACATGAAAATTGTTGAAACAAACAAACAAGACTAATATTGCACATGAAAAAAAGACATTTAAGTATATACATCCATATTTACAGTCTCCAGTATTCCCTTTTGGCATGTGAAGGAATATTGAATCTTTTATTGAGTACGGTACTCTCGACTCAAAAAATCGGATGAAGCGCCCTCTAATTATGCAAAGCATCAATCATGACAGGAAAGTCACAAGGCCACAGAAGAGTGATTTTTTTGGCAGTTAATAAACATTTAAAGATACCAGCCATTGGCATCCCATAATATACATTAAACATGTTGTCATAGCAACAAAATAATTAATCCAGTGTAAATAGTGCTAATCATGCTTTGTTATAAATATTTTGTTGCAGAGAACAGAAAACATGTATCCGATAATACTATTCATTTAGCTGTAGTTGCTAGAACACTAATCAAACAAAAACAAAATACAAGTGCTAATGTGACAAAAATATATACCGGTATAATCTGAGATTGAATAATTTATAATGATATGCCTGGAAACTTCTGAGTGGTAAATAAAACAAAGTTTTTTTGCACATAATTCTTGTTGAATAAAACAGAATTTTCAGCAATTAGCATTTTTTTTGTTTTTACCATATTTGCTCTATTACCGTAGTACCACACACTATGGTCAAAATGAGACATATTTTAATGATACTGAATATAGCAAATATAATTTTGTTTTAGGTCCATTTCTAATAGAGCAAATACTGTATTTCCTGACGCAAGTGCTATTTATATGATACATTCCCATCAGTGACCATCTTGCATAGATATCAGACTCAAAATGTCACCTCATCTTAATAATGTGCAATATTCAATAAACCTATGACCAGAAATTTCAGAAAAAGATTGTTTCACAATGATTGTTACAGATTTAGAGAACATTTGGTACAAGAAACAAGTTTATGTTGTAATCTTGATAATTTTAGGACAGATTTTTTTTTCTTGATTATTTAATTTTTTTATTACAAAATAATATCTTGGCAAGAAGCTTGTCATTACTTCTCACCCATACACACAATGATGCAGTCACATGTACGGAGAAAACATCACTTATTTGAGCCAATCAGTAGTAAATATGCTAATGTTATGCACTGTGAGAGAATTGTACAGTGTAAGCCAATCAGCCTATCTGGTGGTGTTGGCATGATGCATATTTACAACATGAGTATTTTCTGGTTTATGTGAAGCAGGTCACAAACTTTTAAATGGGCACTCAGCCATTTTAAAATATTCAAAAAAAACCACCACTGAAACTTCTCAGAAACAAGTGTCACTTTGTGATGTAAAAGGACCAGATTCTCTTTGGTTTCCACATCACTTATTGCTAGGTATCGAGTTGTACAGAGCTTCTTATATCGTGTCTGCCTGTCTGTCCATCTGTCTGTCCATGTGTGTTTTAATTTCACAAAAAAACTAGTGTATCAATTTACACAAAAAGTCTAACTATAGAAAATGATAATAGATTAATGAAACATGATGTCCTTATCAAGTTACTCATTGATGATGATGATGATGAGAGTAAATCATTCTTTGGATCATCTTTGTTGTCATGGACACTGTTGTGTTCCTTACTCTCATAGTCTTCTGAACCATCTAAAATTTAAAACAAAATTTGATATTTAATATTACAAATTAGAAAAATATCTATTATCTACTGCGGATTACAGTATGTCAAATTTTTTTCACTTTAAATTTATTTTTGCTATTTTTGATGGCAGGGTAAAAAAGAAAATAGCAATTTTTTTGCATATTTTGCATATGACTTGTCACTAATCAGTTAATATTCACTGCATCAAGCAAACTAAGATATAGTTGAAAAAAAGACTTCATTGGATCACATTTTGTCGGTTTACGTTTTCAAGTGGAAAAAGCAAAAATAAATTCCATTTGAAAAAAAGCAGCATTGTGAAGTAAATTCTTAGCTAAGTACTGAGCATACAGACAAAAAAATACATCTATATATATATATATATATATATATATATATATATATATATGTATATATATATATATATATATATGGTATATTTATATATACCATTTTATATCAATTTAACAAAAAAATTTAGCATACAAAGAGGAAAGTGACAAATACATTATGGTACAATCCCTTTTTAATCAATTTTTCTATTTAGTAGGGTAGCTTATACACATAAGTAAACAAGTGTTAAGGATTAACGGATGAACTTTGATTTAATTTTTTTTTGTCCAGACACATATATAGTGGAAAAGTATAAACAATTAAATTAAATTTTGATCAGACGCAGGCATTAATAAACATGCAACACATATGCGCTAGCTGTGCATATAAAGATAAGGATATTAAGATACTTTTTAGACATAAAAGATTAAGGGAGAAAAAGACTGAGAAATATAGAAAGAATAGTGATGTCTCTATGGTAACGCACCTTCAAACAATGTAGTTTTATCTGGGATCACATTGGATTCTTTTGTTGAAGAAGAGAATGTAACCGCTAAAAATAATGATTGAAAGCATTATTAGATGGTGTTGGTTGGTTAGCAGGATAAACTGTAGTAAATTTTTACTTAATAACTAAAGTTAACTAATGAAGTGAAGATAACCAATGATGGCTTAGTATGACCAGCTTTAATCGGTTACACATATTATTGATGCAATGCTCACAAAGGCACTGGTGAATAAAACCTATTTTTAATTAATGTACAAAACTCAACAAATAATAACAATTACTGCGGCTGATTATTAACAACAATACTGGTATATATTAGTTAAAGATTCCAGTTGATATTAATGAGATAATGAATTCAGAAAGATGAGAAGAGTGGTAAGATTCAATTCAGAGCTGAAAATAATTAAAGCGTGCTTTTTGAGGCTATTGGAAAGAATAATAGACAAGAGCCGATGCTTATTTATTTTGATATTTGAAATAATGCATAACAATGGACATGTACATTAGACTATGATTCTATTATGTAAGTGTAGGGATGTGTGAAAGTGACATTCCATACAGATTAGTCATTTCTGTATTTAGAATATACCTATTGTACAGGTTAGTTTTCTACATACAGACTACAGGTTATATTAAGAAGATTAATTTTGTGACATGGTTTATTTTATAGAAAATAGAAATATATATTTAACAAAAAATTATTTATAAAATATATTTCAATAATTTCATGTTTATATTTATAACTGAAATATTTTATATTTTCAATGGAAAATTTTAAAATATTCAAGTTGTGGAAATATCTTGGTAAAATTGTACATGCATTCACACATGGATGTTACAACATAGGGTGGGTCATGTGACTTACCAGGCACTCTTGTTGGTGCATTCCCACAACAGAGTTTTATAATGAGCTTAGTGTGTTTGTACTGACAATTTCCACCAGACACTTTGTTCAGACCATCAATCCGGTCATTACTCACAGCTGTCAATTAAAGGAAACACAAAAAAAAGGTTTTTAAAATAAAATAACAGAAAGTGTCTATCTTTGATGCCAGTAGATTGCATACATGGGCATGAATGAAAAGTTCATTTTTGAAAGACCATTTTTGTTGCCTTTTACAAAGTAACCCACATAATAATATTTCCATTTTTTATCAAGACCTGCAGACAATGGAAAATTTGGTTGAAACTATAGACTATTTTCTATTGTACTCCACATGGTTATCCCTGACATAGCCAAAGCTTAGTTACAATACACATCATCATACTGGTAGTATCTGCCTGGTCATCTTTATTGAGGTACATGTAAACCATCATGCTCTATTATATTACTGATACAAATACACAAGCTTTATCATTTTATAGTTTGTGTGCAGTATGCAAACTTCCAATCATTCTGGCTCGCATGCATCTCTGATGGATAGGTGTTTGAACGGCGCAAAGACAATATTTCTTAAAATACCATATTACATGTTGTTTTCGATGGATTATTTATGTATATTTCACCTGTCGTTATAACTACAATTAGTGACAAAGATAGAGATTTCTGAGAAAAGAAAAATTATTTCTTACATATATAATAATATTCTCTTCCGTGTTCAAAAACAAAATCTCCAGGAACAGGACTATAGTCTTGGAATAACAAGGCATATCTGTTTTCCTGGAAAGGCTCATCACATCGATGTAAAACTCGTGTTTCAGGTAAATTTATCCGGCATTCATCATAGCCAAGTTTTGGCACCATGTATATGACATTGTACTGTGCTCTCTCTCGTCCTTCTGTGGTGTTTTCTTCTCGCGGGCACACAATAGCAACCTCATCCCACATATTGACTTGCAACGCCTGTCCTCCATTTGGAAACCTGGAGAAGAAACATTATTAGAATTATAGGAACACTGCCCTCTATATTGATTAATTCGGATTTGATAGAAAATTAACCAATCACCGACAACCAAGATGCAGCGATCAATACAATGAAATGGAAATGCTGACAATATATTTTTGTAACTAGCACAATGGAACAACATGATGAAATAAACATCAACATATTCTTTACCAACTCATTGAGTGCTTAGAAGAAAGTATGCTTTGATTTAACAAGCAGCCTCACGGCTGAGATAGCTCCGCTGTTAGCGATGCACATTTCAATTAAAGAACAGAAGATATCATTAGAAAATGAACAATATGCATAGTATCAATGCAATGGGACTTGCTGTTTTTAACAAGAATTCAAAAATATCATTTTTCACCATAAATGATTGTAGTTTTTAACAAGAAGAAAATATCACTTTTTACCAAAAATGACAAAAATATTCACCAAAATTAGAGAATTGAAGATATCATTACAAAATGAACAAATTTGAGAGTGGTGCACATGTAGTACATATATATGTAATATCAAAGCAATTGGACTTGTGGTTTTTAACAAAAAGTCGAAAATATCACTTTTTACCAAAAATGACAAAAATATTCACCAAAATTAGAGAATTAAAGATATGATCATGAAATGAACAAATCTGAGAGAGGTCTACCCAAGGTACATATACACCAAGTATCAAAGCATTCAGGCTTGTAGTTTTCAAGAAGAAGTCGAAAAAGTAAAACATTGACACAGACGCCGGACAATCACTCATATGATGAGCTCCGCTCGACAAAATCGACAGCGGAGCTATAAAGTGGTACACTATCAGGAGTACAATAATTAATGCCTACTTGTATTTTAAATGAAATGTAATCAATTTAATAATCTTTGACTTGACTATAGGCCTGATAAAAACAATATTGTCATCTGTATACCATATACCAGCAAGCTTTACACAGAGTCATAAAACCACAACATGTAGATGCCTCTTTGTCTTTTTTTAATGCCTGAATACTGAACAATGAGGAAGACTGGAGGTCACTGGCTGTATATCATGCAACTTGCTACTGGTCAAATTGTTGTGCCATATTTGGACACCACCAGGGACAACATTTGTTTGTATAGATTTTAATACTGTAGCCAAAAACTAAGAAAAAATTAAAACAAAAGATAACATACATTTGAGGACATTTTTGCTGCATACCGAAATTTGATTTCTGCTATTTTCTCCAATAATCAGTAAATATTTATGCTAACTGTAACTAGTATTTCACACCTGCCTTGAATGGTTGTCAGACAACACAAACTGACTAAACAAACATGGCTGAAACTTGAGATAACAACAATGTCAAAACTATAACACAGTGACAAGAGAAGAATATGATAACCAAACCAAAAAAACAACATGCTTCTTGAAAAACTTGGCACGTAGTCTGACGTTTGATATTAATAAATCATGATGATAGACATCCAATGGTAACCGGCAAACGAGTGGGCAAGAGGCATTGATTAACAGATCAATTGTACAAATAAATGTACATTAAAATTTAATTTTTCTTCACAAGTAGAAATAAATATGGACTATACATCAACACGTGCAATGGAATATACTTTTAAAATATTGAAATAAATATCCCGCAGGGAAATCATCTCATCTTTATTACCTCAAATTTCATCTACATTTACAATATGGTATTTATAAGTTTGGTTTTTAACTATTTATTATTTATTATTTAAGATGCTAAATTAAAATGGCTGTTCTATATGAATATTAACGTCAATGCATAACAGAATAGGGTGCCATATTTTACTTTCATATTAAATTTGCCAGATGGATTGTATTGAGTATGGTGGAGTATGTAAAATAATGTGTTGTCATTGGAGTTATAAAGAACTCGGCAGGGTGTGCATGACTCAGATTTGATGAAACAATCTGCTACAGGGCATTGAATACAATATGAAAATTACAAATCCATGTGAAAGAAAAATTTTTAAAGCAACAATGTTGGTCATTTATTTACAAATTCAATGTTTTTCAACTACATGTACTGTGAAATAATTAATTTTAACTTTAATTAATTTTCACAAAAAAGACTTTTTGGGTGTTTTGCATGGAATTTATTTTCCTTGATTTCAGATGAGTTGAATGTAAAAAAAATGGATCTTTTTTTCACTGAATCATTCCTTCTGCGAAAATTAATTCCAAGCAAAATAAAGAATTTTACAGAACCATAAAATTAACCTTTCATACTTCAAAACTTTTGATAAAGACCAAATTTGAAAATTTATCTTATTTTGGTCAAAAATTTACAAAACAAATATGTAAAAATAGGCAAGATACTGCACCAACATTTTAAAATGCCATTACTGGCCTTGGTATATAGATATATATATATATATATATATATATATATATATATATATATATATATATATCCCAAATGATCTGACCTTAGAATGAGGAAAAGATGATTTAATTTGCAGTCAGTAATTCAAATCCCCTTTTATTAATTGACTGTTTTTTTTTTTTTTTTTACTTTCCACAAATGATAGACGATAAAATGTAATCAAGGCACTTTTTGATCTGATCGTTATATTGAATTAATTGAAAACTATAAAATTTCACATTTAAATATTTGTATGGAGTTCACCTAGGTTTGAAATTCATGGATTGTGACTGTTAAATATTTATTGAAATTTCCTTACACTTTCACATGAATTTAATTTCACTGATCAGCAGAAAATAGCGAAATTATTTCACGGCACTTAAGAACAGCATATGGTGCCACGTACACTAATATAAGCAATGGCAGGGTCTCCCAATGGACAATGTCTCCAACATACTGGGTTACTCCCTGTCTTATAAAGAACTGGATATTTTTAATGTAAACACATGGTGTTTCTTAATGCAAAGGTTTATTCAAATCTTGGCAATAGGGAATGTGAAAGGCCATAAACCTTACGATGAAAAGAAAACCAGTCAATACAGTATGGCGATATTTGCTGATAACGACTGACAGGTAGAGGCAAGGACACCAATACGTAATTAAACACACATTCCCAAAGTCAATAAATGTATAACAAAAGTTTCTTTAGTCAGTATAAAACTATTCCGAGGTCAAAGTTCATAGCAATTGTACTTTTACTTCTTTTTTTTTCCAGAGTAAAGATTTATTCTTTCATTGAACTCCACATGTTGTTTAGTCACTGGACCAAGCCTCTAACCTAGCATGCAGCTATTGTAACCCGGACATTTCCTAATTACAATCCTACCCCCAACACATGGCAGTCACGTTTCTCTATAATGCCCTTTTCAACTTGACAGGAATAAGTAATTTATTCAACACTTGAGCGATGCAGGAACTTGACACCTGTCTCATAATAATCAATCACAAAACTCAAGTATTGACTTCTTCTTCAGAAATATAACACAGTTATCATCATTCATTCACGTTCGCTTAATTTATTGAAATGAACGATTTAAAAAGCAACTTTTTGAAAGTACAAACACTTAAAATTTAAGTTAGGACATTCTCACAATTTGTAGGCACAGCAAACCACCACTAAGTATTCACTCCTGATTAAAACATACTTTAAATATGTAAAAAGCCATAACCAGGATTTATCTAGTTTAAAAACAATGGGAAAGAAAACCTTTTTCACACTTCTATGAAGTGCACCGAAGCTTAAAACTTAACAAGTCTTGGTCTACTGAAAACTAAAGCACTCTTCCTCTGACATACTATATTTTTTCATGCATGTGTGGTTTTTTAATATTCATATCTCTGACCTCTACTGGATACTAGTTTTATTATTTATAGATTGACTGCATACTTAATGTTGTTCTGAGTTTCACACTTTAGTGCTTACAACTTTAATAAATAACTAACAAAAGGAACCAGGGACCCAGAGTGAGAATTAACCAAAATAGTATAAATAAATGTGTTTGACATATCCCAGCATGCATTATTTCCCTCCCTGGGGTGTCTTTTTTCTGATACAAGTAATGTTTAGAGTTAAGGTTAAAATTAACTTCCAATATGCATAAATACTAACTGATATTACCTTGGGGTCATTTTGAGTGTCATTTGAGAATTTATTCCCTGAAATAGAAAATGGTGCATACATTCTGAATGTTCAGTTCAATTTGTTCATGCATGTATTATTCTAGTAAATCTGGTGAAACAGGTGTCAAGTGTCCTTTCTCCCTAATTGTTGGAGCTGAGAAAGAAGGGGGTGGATGGCAAAATGTGGTTCAAGTTTGTGAAAAAATGTATATCTTAGGATGTAAGCAATTTAGGCATGTACCTTGCAGGTGTCAAGAATAGATATAAAAAAGTAGCTGGTGTTTTTCTGCATTACGACTAAAAGTTATGTATTTAATTTTGTATGTAATACAGTCCCTCCCACATCATGTACCCCTCTATATAATGGTTGACTCCACAACTTCATCTTTCTTTCCTGCTCAGTATTTGGAGGTTAGAGAAATTAAAGAACATTCCTTGACATTCCATTTTTTTCTAATAACAAAATACTTGATGAAATTTGAGACTAGAGAGCTCTGTGCTAAAAAAAAACAAACACACATTGGATGAGATCCAACAATTCTGGTAACCATTGGAGACAAGATGTGACCTTTCGAGTATGATTTCTAGAAATCGATTGGTACTGAGACATCCATACACAAAGACTGAATGAGTTGTTGCTTACTCAAGTTGCCATACATACAATATATATCATAATTTTTTTCTTCACAAAACCCAGAATTTAATGCAACAGACATGCACAAAATAACAACTTTATCGGAAATAATTTCCTGATAACTTCAGATTAATAAATTATGATATTTAGCAAAAGGTTAACAAGGTCAGCACAACTCTAGTCATAAACATAACAGATAAACAGATGTACAACAATAGCCAATTTTCATTTGAATATTAATTAGATGTTTATAAATATCATGGTGATATTTTGCAATAATTTTCAAAGTAGTATTTCCT